TTAATTTTTAACCAATTGTTCTCTCTGTGACCGAGAATGTAGGGCAATGGTCAAGGAAAAGAAGAAGCAGGGTAGATGGATTAATGTTCAGACTTACTCTGGGCCTTTCAATGACTACAGGCTACCTGGTCTGGTTTTCTGTTGTGGTCTCATTCTTGTGACATTCTATGTTTTTTTCTCAATGTATTCAGTCTCCTGATCAAATCTGGAGATTTTACTTAATATTTACTTATCCTTGCTCATCTATCATTCTTTTGGTAGAGGACATTTGAACACGAATCTAATATGATTTCAGTGAGTAAAGCCATTACTCCAAGGCTAATTATAAACACTCCAAACTCTTGAAAATAAAGTGAAAGCCTAAGGCATTTACTCAGTTTTTGAATTTCAAATATAATTTTTGAGATGTGAGGTACTTATGATTTATTTTTACAGTTATGTAAAGGAAATGATTAAAACATTAATGAACTAAATCTATTTTAATGGTTAATTTTGGAAAAATCTCACTTTATCAAGTAGGTAGACATAGAATATTCAGACTTTGAATTTAGAATCAAAAAGCTACATCAATGATAGAAGCATTTTATTTAATATGTTAAATATGATATATATCAATCTAATAGTCAAGACACATACCAAATTTATTTTTACTGAAGACTACTCTCTTTTTTTCGTCAATTCATGATTGTTCACTAGCTCAGATTCTATATACATAGGCTATTGAAAAAGGTGCCCAGTGAATCAAGGGTGAGTTATTGGAGTGAAAAGAAAACTTGTTCATAGAGTTAACAAAGCAAGATGGTGGCTAGTTTCCAAAAATGACCATCTTAACTTAAGTTCCTTTTGACTTTGGCAAGGGGTAAACATAGGTTTATGTTAGGAAAGTGCTGGTGACTAGACCTTGTACAAGACAGTACTCCAAAGTTGTCCCTGGTATTGTTAATCTGTGGGTCCTGTCATCTCTGTAAACCTTGAAGCTGTATTAGTCACATAATGTACAATTAGCCTTGAGGAGAACTAGAGAGATGAGGAAATTTTGGTGCATACCAATTTTCTACTGCCTTTCTCTGAATGCTTAGCATGTTTGTGTGTGAAGTTTAAAAGAAATAATCTGACCCAAAGGTAAGGTAACACAGAATACAGATACAGTGCAACAGTAGACAGGGAACCGCCATCACAATAACTCACAAATCATCATAATATTTACAGAAAAACACAGTGAGGTGTAGCATGAATTGTAACAGGTCTTATTAATAAAATCAAACCCAGGAGCCAGGTATTAGGGTGACTGCTGGAAGATCAGAGAAGCAGAAAAAGCCACAGCTTCCTCACCTTGGCAGTTCCTCAGCTGATCCTGTTTCCTCAGACTGGAAGCTTTGAGTCCTCATCCAAATGGATCTCAGCTGAACTGCTGCTCAAAAGCCTAAAAGCTTAACCAGGCTCTAGTTCCTGGTCCCCACGCCTTATATACCTTTCTACTTCCTGACATCACTTACTGGGATTGAAAGGCTCACTTCCTGGGATTAAAGGTGTGAGTCACCATGCCTGGCTGTTTCCAGTGTGGCTTTAAACTCACGGAGATCCGGGTGGATCTCTGCCTCTGGAAGGCTAGGATTAAAGGTGTGAGTGCCATCATTTTCTGTCCTCTATATCTAGTGGCTGTTCTGTTCTCTGACCCCAGAAAAGTTTATTAGGATGCACAATATTTTGAGGAACACAATATCATCACAGTGAGAAAATACATGCTATGTTGTTCCCATGCATGATAACCAAGATTAATGATTTTCAAGTTAACTAAAGCAAGAGAACTTAACTTCACTGTGGAGTTTTACATAAAGAACAATTTTTTTGTACATGTATGATTTATACCAGTTGCCACATCTACACTTTAGGAGACTTTTCTAATCATTTTTTCTTTCAGATAATCTTGTCTCAGTTTTGTTTTGGTATTCTTGTCATTTTTCATAAGTTTCAAAATGAATGACTATGTGTTTCTCAGGCACTAATACATTGATGTCATTCATTATTACTCAATTGTAAAAAAATGTCAGTAGTTACTACTGAACAATATGTTCAAATAAGAGCTTTATCACATAAACATTGAAGTGTTTTACAGACCATCCTTATTATTGTCAATATTGTTAGCTGTTCTAGGCATAAGCATGGTGACATGTGTTTGTTAGGAGCTATGCAAAGCTTAGAGCTGCCTAATCATGTCCTTTTGTTCTACTGTTTTGATTTTTCTGGTCTTCAACAAATGACAAGATCTACAGCATATGTCATCTACCTCTGAGATCCTCAGTAAGCCTAGTATCTATATCATCTAAGACAGCATATGCAGCTTCATGTTTTATTGCCTAACCAGTAGTAATGGGATTGCACAGAAATACACATGTGCACATGAATGTATCAGTGTGTTCATGCTCATGCATACACACACACACACACACACACACACACACACACACACACACACACACACAGAGCCCTATGTATTTATTCCAGTATTGTAATAGAGAAATAGTGGAGGGATGTTCATATTATAAAAGTTATATCACTTATCATATAAAACTGATGAGAAACTTTGAAATATAGTCTTCAGTTCTTAATATACTAACCATCAAAACAGTAATCTTACAATTAATAATTAATGAGATATGGTAAATTCTACTACTACTAATTGTAAACAACTTTAGGGTTCAGTTTATCATTTGGACATTGACCTTATGACTTTGCTTAGCTCTTTGTTAAGAGAAGCTCTTGGAGTGTACACAATTTATGATGGCCAGTGTCTGGTAACTGTAGTGCTCAGCCAAAGGCAGGTTTACTGTGAGATGCTCCAGCCAGTGACTAAGCATGGTGTATCTATGTACTAGGGTTGGCTGCTTTCTGCCTAATATAGGCTGCTCATCAGTCTGTTCAAGATCTTTTAGAACTACCCTGTAGTTTGTGAGTCTCCACTCTCCACTAAATCCTTCCACTTTGTCTTTGTTTCTTAGCTGTCATTTATTGGTAGCCTGGGGGGCCAGCCTCCAGCTACCACTAGGGTTTGCAAAAAAAAAAAAAAATCCATGAAGGCAGCAAGGGCTTAGGAAAAGTTCTTAACTATCTGAGGGCTAGACTTTTTTTCTATTTGAGGGGAAAATTAAGGAAACACACTCTTTCTGATGGTAGCTTTCTCTTTTACTTCATCTAGAAAAAAATCCTCTCTGAAAATCTTTCTTGCTCTACATAGTTACACTCCACATTGTTACATTCTCTATACAGTCTCCACACAGCCACATACCTGTTTTGCACAGTTACATCTACACATTTCTTCTATCTACTCTGTTACATTCCTTCCCATATTTTTACATCATTTATCCACTCTTTACATCTTCCATTCACTCTCTCATCTTACTCTCACATTTCTTCTCTATGTAACTTTGGACAGTTACATGTTACATTTTTCTCTCTGCTCACTGGGCTACATCCCTCACTCACCACACACACCTACACATACACACCCACTCTTACCCTCTGCCCAGTTTGCTCTTACACCATTCCTTCACATTGCTCTCTCTTTCTCTCTCACTAGCCAAACTTTGCACAATTATAGGTTATATTTTTAGGGTCTGACCCATTCTCATAACACGAGATAAGTCATGTAGTTTCTCTTAGTCTAGTAATGTTATATTGACCCATGCATGTACTTTAAGTTGGTGAGGGATCCCAGACAGTAAACAATTGGCTGGACCTTGAGCCTGAGACTGGGACTATGTGCAAAAAGGGAACTACTACAGGGAGCTATATCTCAGTGTAAACAGCCTGGCCTTGATTTAGTAATAAACAACACCTGGGAATTAGTCTTTGTGTATTTTCTGCAGGGGCAGCTTAGTCTGTTTTGAATTTGTTCTGAAGTCTAAAATTAGCCATCTTCGAGACTAAGAATGTTGTTACTTTCTTGTGTCAGTAAAGAAGAATATTCTGATATTATTTCTGTTCATCAGAATTATACAGCCTAAACAGAAATCATCTTCTTGACTATCCACAGCTAAATGTGTGCCCAAAAAGTGTAAAACACACTACCAATGGGCTGTGGAAGGAACCCCACAGCTGTTCTTTTTAGGGAGGTATGTTGTAGCACATGAGAAATTTACAGACAGAAAGCAACTGGTTTCCACAGCCAGTGACCCCAGGGCTTTGTCAGGTGGTGCTCTCCATCAGGGAGTTATTTGTCTGGTGGGTCGACTTGTCAAACACTAGTTGTCACCTGCTGTATGCTGCCATGTCCCTCAGCAGCCATTCTTTTTCTTTTCAAGTCTGAGATTTTCGTCACTGATTCCTAATCTCTCTTACTGTATCTCTCATAGGCATTTGCCCTAATCACTATCATATAAGTCTTATAATTTATTAATATCACTCTCTAAGGGGATCTTGAAGGGCAGAAGGACAATACTAAGTGTTTTTCAGAATTGACATGAAGCAATAATTAAATGAATCGATTGGTATTGACACAGGCTAGTGGAATAGAACAGTGGATTAAGAAACAGTCCCTTAGTTACATATCCAAATACTTTCTGAACAAAATCAAAATAATTTATTTTGGAAAATCATGCTTTGATGTAGTTGGCCAACACAAATTGGACTCCAGGTTTTGTTCATTTTTGGTTTTATTTTGTTTTAAATTGAGAAAGAACATGAAGTTGGATGGGTAGGGAGCAATGGGAAAGCTTGGAAGAGTTGGGGAGCAGAAAGAATATGATCAAAATGTATTGTATGAAAGTTTTAAAAATAAGTAAAACTATAAAAATGACAAGCCAGGAGAACTGTGGTATTATTTTTTGGAGGCTGACTAGGGCAGTCTTAGAGAGTCCTACTCAGAAGCATGTCATGAGAAGCAGCTGTGAGGAACCTAGCTGACTGATCATCTGTAGCTGATGCTTCTCTTGTTATACCATAATACTCAGGTGTCAGATTACTCTGAGATGAATTTGCCAATGATTGAGTATGGTGGATAGATTGTATTAGGTTTCACCATTTCTACGAGGTATGGGTCTCTCCTGATTGGGAGTCTTTGTAAAGATTTCCTATCACCCTTCATAAAATGTTTAAACTGCCATCTAAATATGAGATTCTTACCCAACTTTTTTATTTCTCTCTCCTTTTTTAGGGGTTGGAATTTCATACTGGTCCAAGTCTTCATCACTTACTCGTCCCTTTCATTTCATTCTTCACAAGTGATTAGCATATCTTGCTAGTTCAATATTCTTTGGAATCTCCTTTCAAAGAGACATTGCTGTTGTCTAGGTGAGGCTACAATGGCATGATCTAATAAAGCCAGAGAGTCAATGTTGCAAATGCCAGCGTTTCAACTTGTGGTGCATTCTATGGATAAAGGGCAAAGAAAAGATTGTGTTGCATTAGAGAGAGGTTCTGGAGAACTATGGATTTTGTTTGATATTTTTGAGTTAGGGATTGAAGCCAGAACTAAGCATGTTAGTGAAGTGCAGAAGCACTGAGCCCAACCACCAGACTAACAGTTGCATTAGAATGAACCTGAAGTGGAGGGGGAATGGAGATGAGTCCTCTAGTCAAGATGTACAAAACAGAGAGATGACCCACACAGTTCTGATGTCCAATTAAACAAGTGCCCATGTCCGCACTGAAGCCTGATTTTAAAGTGGAGAAAACATTGTGAGTTGTAAGGAAACTTTTTGTCTTGATTTGAATACATTATATGGACTAAGCAGGTAATATTCAAGAATACATATGTATATGCATACAATAACAATTTGTGAAAAGAGAGCTCATGAATTTGAAGGGGAATAGAGAGGGATATATGGGAGACCTTGGAGGGAGGAAAGGGGAAATATGTCATAATTTTATTATAATCTCAAAATTAAAAAAGGAGGAGCAAAGAGAAAAAAATATTTTTATTTTTATTGGATGGTGATACTAAGAAATTTGGGCCAAGCTTTTTTGTGTGAACCATGTCCACTGTCCACTTCCTACAGTTTTATATCTGTTTTCAAAATTTTATAATTGTGTATGTAACAAAAAACACTGTCTACTATCCATCACTAGTTAGAATGCATTTAGGGAAGATGTTCCTCAGTGGGTACCTCCTCATCAGGACAGTAGTTTTTCATGTACAGCTTTTGTGTTCATATGAAGATATAGTGTATGTTAATTTCTGAAACACTGGTTTATAACAATATGCTTAGAAGAAAATAATGTCAGTTAAGTAATTTAATAGGATCTCCATAAAAATATTGCATCTGACAGAGACTTAAGCATTTATATTTGTTTGAATATTTATTTCAGTATTGTAATGTGTTTAAAATTTTATTCCCCAAGTAGAGTACTTACTGATTTCTTCAATTATTTTGTCTACACTCACCACAATGCCTTGATTAATCATTTCTCATTTGAATTTGCTGTAAAACACAAATTTTAATAAGGACACAAAATGCTTTCATAAAGAAAGAAGATGAGCTGTATTGTATTCATTTTCATAAAACCTTGGTAATAAACCAAAACTGAAGTGTGAGCCACTTACGTGTGTGAAACTTGCATGTTCTGAGACTCATATTCAGGCAACACAGACTGATAAAGAATAATCAATTAACAGGCTGGCTCAGTTTAGGGAAGACAATTGGTCATAGTGAAGCTTCTAGTGTTGACCTGACAAGTCAAATGGACTGAAGTTTAATGTTTAAAAGTTGTGGGTGTGTTGAGAAGAGGACCAGGGGATCAATCAGTTCAAGTTTTCAGGTAGGAGGAATATGTTTTAAGGAGAGTAAATAATTTGTAGCTCAAAATCATTAAAAGAATAGACTTGAGATGTCTTCATGAAAAAATGATGAGCGTATGGTGTGATTGACATGTTAAATGAATCAATTTAATCCTTACTAAATATACAACTCTGTGATACCATCCCACTGTACCTCATAAGTGTATACAATTTTTTGTCAATAAAACACAAAAAAGAAAAACTATCACCTTTGCATGTGTATTTTTTGTCTCATTAGGACTTTAAAGGAAATTAAGGTTTTAATTATCAACAGATCAAGATTTTCAAATAGAAATTTTATATGTACACCCAACTGAACAAATTATGACTAGAAACAAGTACATCAAAATTAGAAATTATGAATATAGTTTATATGAGAATGTTGTCTAATAAGTATAAAAATATTTTGATCTCTCTATGAAGGATACTTTTGAATTTTAATAATTTACACTTGTATAGTACACAATGAACATGCCAATATTTTGATTTTACTACAGAACATAAAGTGGTTCCTTGTAGTTAGATGAATAATTGTAAACATCTATGTCAAGCAAACCAGGTCATAAATTAAATCACTGCATGATATTCAATAGTTTAACTCTTTTGTGGGAAGTTCTCAATCACCCAGCTCCAAATACCTGCTACAGAAATTTTTATGTAGATTAGATAGTCAAATTTGTTATAAAAGAATATTGAATGCTCTGGGGGCTCCACTGTGTAAGAGCTGTCTCTTACACAGACATTCTTAGCTGTATGTCTTCAGTTTTTTTCCTAATTTCATACTCTCTGTTTTATCCAGAATGTGGCTGAGGGATCTATGAAGCTTTGCTCATTTATTTTATCATTAGTTTCTCTGTGTTTCATTGGACAGTGTCTTTTTTGTTCTTATGAAATTTACTCAATTTTCGTATATTGTCTCATCTATTGTTAATCCCATTTAGTGCATTAAAAATAAGACTGAAACTTATTTTAGATTTACAGCCAAACATTTAAAGAGAGTGCAGAGACATATAGTTTAGTTAATATCATGTATTTTATAGTCATGAAAATATAGTGCAATATGAAGTGCTGTGTTAAATCATCACTGACTGATAAGGTTGAACATGTCATACTTGTAAGGAGTCAGGAGTAAATGAAAGATAAAGTTCTGTATGTCGTAGTGATGGGGTTACCATTGGATATACTTTGCTATAATTGAATTTGGGTGATGTGACCTAATGCAGGTGGAAGGAAGGAAGGGATGAGATAGCTTTGCTGTAAAAGCAGAATCTTGTAAACTGTCTACATTCATTCCATATTTTACTGGTTTTACCCAGTAGGTTATAAAAAGGGGCATGAATTTGAGAGGGAATGTGGCAGATGGGCTCTAAGAGGAGCTGGAGAAGGAATGGGAGTTGATATTATCAAAGCACATTGATATATATTTACACACACACACACACACACGAAATTATCAGAGAATATGGGATAACTAACTCTAAAGACTTGTAAGTGCCTGATGTGATGGTAGATAACTTCAAGCAAAGAGGTGACTAACACTAAAGGCTTTTTGAAAAGCTGTGTGGAATACTTCTACTGTAGAAGTTTCCTAATTAAAAGAAGTTACCATATAATGGGGGAGAGAATACCCCAACTAGACATTTTATGCCACCAAATAAAACCTTCAGTGCCACGAATGGGTTACATCATGTTAACTTGTTGGCCAAAAGGGTCCCATAGACTCGGCCCCCAAACACCACAGGCCATTGCCACGGCTCTTGTTACTTTTCTCCTTACTGCTGACACCACTTATGTCATTGAATATGGAGATATTCCATGTTCCAGCTAGAAGCTTCACTCCTGCTGACTAACATTCCTCGTGCTGGGTGGTACTTTGAATGGACTGGAAGAGAAATGATTAAAAAAGAAAATCAAAATAAAACTAACCAAACGAAAAGTTCTTAGCATTTCATATGAAACATATTTTAATGAATCACCAAGTCCTTGTCACTGTGGGACCCCAAGGAATGTCTGTCCTGTAGAGAACATTTCAAGTTTGCCCTAAGGAATTTTTGGTCCCTTAGTAATTTTGGAGATTCAGGAATAATAGAGATTCATTTTATCAGTTGCTGCATTTCTTCTTAAATAGAAAAATCTGCAATAGGGGATTTCTTTTTTTCTTCTTTCTGCTATTTTATTTAATTTTTTCCATAGTCTTCACCAGTCCTGTGCTTTGTTATGTAGAGAAATGACCTGTGATACTTCTCATGGTCTCTGACATTTGGTTCTCAATGTTAGTCTTGTTGGTAAATTACCCTACTTCAAACTTGTATTTTCATGTGCAGCTCAAGATTAGATGTAAAAATTTACCTCAAATTTCACTCCTAACTTCTGCTTGCAGCAACCCCACAATTTAGTCAGTCCTTGGGCTAGAGTCATTAAGGGTTTTCTTGCTCTTGTTTCCCTCTACTTCCTTTATGAGAATTCTTGTCGAGTCCTCCCTTTCAGTCTCTCTGTCTCTCTCTCTCTCCTTTTTTCCTTCCTTTCTTCCTTCCATCCCTTCCTTCCTGCCTCCCTCCCTCCATCCCTCTTCTTTCCTTTCTTCTTCCTTTCAAGACTTCTCTCAGCATTACTCTTAATTTAGATACCTTCTTTTTTCCTATCTTCTTCCCCTTCATTACTGATTAACTTCCTTCCCTCCTCACTCCCTGTCTCTCGCCTTCTCTTCTGTTCTCATTGCTCTGATTGCCTCTGCAGGTCATGCTACTTCCATCTCTCTAGTGATAGTCATCTTCCCTAGTACTCTCTGACCATATTGATCTTCTAAATACTGTAGATGTTTCAATTTTGTGCCACAAAAGGATAAAAACTGTAAGGGCTCTCAATGACATTCCAAAATGAAGAGAACTTTGATTTCAGAATTTCAGCCCTTATAATGTATTTTTACAAATTTTCCTCTTATTTGAGCCTGTGTTACAGGTGTGTGGGAAAATAAATTGGGTATTCTCCATATTATCAGAAAATCAGGGCTGCATTCAGAGATGGAAGCTATGAAGTTTTTTTTTTCCTTTCTGAGCTCACTATCTGTGATCTGGAGTTCACTTTGGTGATCTCTAGGAGTTACCAGTAGCTCTACATGCCTTATGCATGTTACCCTGTCCACATTCTTGTCTATAAGTAAAAAACATTGATACTGTATAATTTTTTGACTGTGTGACAAATATTCTGTGGAGTATCCAGTATGTATTCTTAGAGAACTAGGGGTGGATACTAATTTATTCATTCCTCTATATATATTTATAGAGCAACCCCTGCATATGTAAGGTTTAATTGTGCTTAGTGCTTCAGAAGTAGCTCTGAAGAAAACAGTCAATATCCCTTGGATGATATGGACTTAGATTAAGAAACATGTATGATATGTATAAAAGCAGACAATATAAACAAGGTATAAGATTTCATCTAGAGATGGAAAGTATAGAGAATTCATAGTATACAGGACAGGTTTTCATGCTTTTCTCTTTAGAGACTTTCCAAATGGGCAGGAATAAAATGTAGGCAGTACTGGAGCACAGGTGATGTGCAGGAAGAATGGGGAATACCAGGGCAGGAAGTATTGGGTTGGGCAGGAGATGGAAGGGCAGAGTAGAGGAAAGAGTTTGAGGATGGATAAGTAACACTAAAGACCTTTGAGAAAGTCATGTGTAAAGTACAACTGTACAAGTTCTTGAAATATCTTCATGTCTAAAATGAGTTTAAATTGAAATACATTATCATTTGGTGACAGCGTTCTCGCTAGATACTACAAGCTATCAAATGAAAGCCTAGAATCAGGAATGAGCTACCTTTTTTTTTTTGGAGTTATTTGCCAGTTGTGTTCCCATAGATCCCAAAATATTACAGGCTATTTATTGTCACTGCTCTTGATTATCCCAAACTTGATGATTAGACCCTATTTCAGAAGACACCATACATTCCTGTCATAACACGGAGAAATAAACTTGTGTCTATCTAGAACTGGCTTCCATATTGTCTAGCTTGACAAAAAATTCTTTATTGACACAAGTACTTTTTTGTGCTCTCTTTTTTAATCTTTGTTAATTTCAAACATGAAAACAATAGACTTAGATTATATAAACCTACATACAATTCCAAACTCTGATCCACTAACTCAAACACAGACCTGACAAGAAGTTGTGATAATTTTGCTTGCATTATATAAAGTCATACTAAGCATTAATTTCCCTCAGCATGATTCAAAGACTGGTGAGAAACTAATCCTTTCCTGACAGATGTCTTTCAACTGTTCTGTGTAGTTAAAGATATAGCAGTATGTATCATTATTTGGAAGTTGGTCATGTCTTGTGTAAGAAGTTGGGAGGTGAATCTGGTATTGTCCAGCTTTTATAGTGAGTGCTATACATGCTATCAAAAGAGAAATGTAAGAAACAATTTTTTTCCAGATGTGAATCACAAGATCTACAGTAAAGACTGACTTGGCAGGACCTACCCACTAGTGCAGCATTGTCATAAGCATTGTGGGAGTAACCAAACACTTTTGTATTGGATTTCAGGCTTGCTCCACACAGTGCTCATTCTTAGCAAGATTCTTGGGACCTGAGATTAAATATGTCATAGGTCATAGAGAAGTACCTATGATTATTTTTCTGCTATGGATATAGTATTAAAATAAACCCTAATAAATTTACATTGTACCTTATATCCATAGATTAATGAATCTCTCAGTTTTCATCAGAGGTGCTTCTTTGGGCAGTAGATCACAATTAACACAGACATCCAAAATTGGTCAAGAAGTAGATAATAAGAGACTGTGAGTACTCAGTCCTACATGGGACCTCCCCATCATATCTCTTCTCTCAAGATTTGGAGATTATAACAGAAGTAGGACTGGAAAGACTGTAGGAGCCAGAGGTGATAGGTGATTACACTTGAAATTGTGTTTTCAGAATTTAGCAAATCCACTGCTCAAATGCACTCACAGTGGTTGCAACAGTGTGCAAATACCTGTGTAAGACCAAGGCCCCAAAACCCAAGCGTGGAGGGAGGATATGGTCATAAAGTTCCACCTCTAACTGAGGAACTGTTGGTAGATGTTTACTTGTATAAACATAGTAATTTTTCTTCCAGGATGTGCTTCCTGAGAGGCTACCTAAACTGACATAGACATCCCTATACCATATAAATACTGGAAGTACTGAGTGGACTCAGTGGGTAAAAAAAAAAAAAAAATAAGAGAAAAGAACAGATAAAGTTGAGAGTGAATAGTGTCAGGATGATGGAGGAAAAATTGTAAGAAAAGGAATTTGATGAAAATACGTTGCATATGTGTGTAAAATTTTCAAACAGTAACAAGAAAACAATACAAAACAATTGTGTCTACCTCCAATAATCCTATGTCATTACTATTGGAGTAGTTTGTAAGCACCATAGCAACAAAGTCTGATCTCTGAGGTAAATAGCTGAAACTCATAAGACTCAATATTTACTAAGGCCCCTAAGACTACAATCTCATAGAACCCCCTTGGGTCATTACCAGGTGGCCCTTGTGACATCAACAGATGCTATTTTCCAACCTCTGAGTGAGAGAGGACATCAGATCGAAGCCACAGCCAGAAATCATGATCTATAACTCATAACTCCTCAGAATGCAGAGGAATGAGAACTCTGCCTTCTCCAGTCCAAAATTAGTTTCCTTTATCACTAAACAGCCAAACCTAGGGACAACAGAAAACAATATTTCTTCCCTAAGTTTCAGACCTCACAGCTCATCAGTGATATGTGTTCTCACTCCTTCTGAGAGTAGAGGAGAAGAGATAGTGAGGTGACTTCTGAGTTCCCCATGGACTGAGAGAGGTAAGTGATAAACAGGATGCTTGTTTTTTTTCTTTTGGATTTTGTTTTTGTTGTACTTTTTAAAAACTACCTCTGAGCAATCCAAGGAGTCTTTGATGTGCCTGTGTCTTCTCTTTAGTGATGGCCACTGAACCTGAATTAGGAAGTGGATTGTCAAGGTAGAAGATCGGAGATGCTGCAGAACCAAACATGGTCACTGGTTCCCTGAATATTATTCCCAAGGAAATGGCCTTTCATACATTTATGTTTATTTCTGTATGTGAATACCCATAAAATGTAGAAAGCAAAGGAACAAGAAGTGTGTGCTTGAATTAATTCTTCCACTCCTATTCTTATTCTCATTGTAATGGAGTAGTTTGGAGGGGACTGGAATTTCATTCTAATATTACTATTTTCACTGTTCTCACAGTTATGACCCAAGGAATGGCCTCAGAAAATGACTCCTCAGTGAAGGAGTTCATCTTGCTGGGCTTGACACAGCAGCCAGAGCTTCAGCTGCCTCTCTTCTTCCTCTTCTTGGGAATCTATGTGGTCTCCATGGTGGGGAACCTGGGTTTGATGGTTCTGATTGTTTTGAATCCTCACCTGCACACCCCCATGTACTACTTTCTCTTCAATCTTGCCTTCACAGATCTCTGCTACTCCTCTGTCATAACTCCCAAAATGCTGGTGAGTTTTGTGAAGCAGAACATCATCTCCCATGCTGAGTGCATGACTCAGCTCTTTTTCTTTGCCTTCTTTGTTATTGATGAATGCTACATTTTGACAGCCATGGCCTATGACAGATATGCTGCTATTTGTAAGCCCCTGCTTTACCAAGTTACCATGTCCTATAAGGTTTGCCACTTGATGGTAGTAGGTGTGTATATG